AACTAAAAATATATAGAAAAAATTAGCTGGGCATGGTGGCACATGCCTGTAGTCCCAGCTACTTGGGAGGCTGAGGCAGTAGGATCGCTTAAGCCCAGGAGTCTGAGGTTGCTGTGAACTAGGCTGACGCGCTAGCCCGGGCAACAAAGTGAGACTCTGTCTCAAAAAAAAAAAAAACAACAAAAAAAAACTACTTTAAGACAGAATTTGATAAATTTATCCATGCTGGATTAATAATCAATGGTTGAAATCTGGACTATTTGAGTGCTATATTCATGGTGTTTTGGAATTGACAATACTCAGTCTTGGCCGCTCAATAATAGGTTCTTTGGCAGCATCCTAAGAGATTTCATGTAACCCCTAAAGCATTTTTATATTCTTTTGTAGATTGCTATCTGTTCATTCACTAAGAGTTTACTGGTAACTCCTGGAATGTCAGAGAAGCTGAATAATAAGACAAAGAAGTGATCATTCATGTATATGTTTATTTGAAATATTTTTCTTCATGGAATTGTATAGACAGGTAGTGCTCATTGTGGAGAAACAGGCCCTCACGTTCACTGTTGATGTGGGTACAAGCTAGTTGCATTGTTTTGGAGGACAATTTGACATCTGTCAAAATGTATAATGTTTAGTTTGAACTAGGAAATTCATTTCTAGAAATTTGTCCTAAAAAAGTAAACTTGCACAAAGACATAGAGGTAGATATTCTTATAACATTATTTGCAGTAGTGAAAAATGAGAAACAACCCACATGTTCATCGATGTGAGTTTATGGATTCTGCCTACCACAATCCGTATAATGTGTTACCACAATACACCCATGTGTCATTGCTGCCATAACAAATTACCACAAAATTAGCAGCTTAAAACAACACAAATTTATTATCTTACAGTTCTTTTAGGCCAGAAGGTCCAACACATGTCTCACTAGGGTGAAATCAAGGTGTTGGCGGGTTTGTATTCCTTTCTGAAGGCCCTAGGGGAAAGTGTTTCCTTGCTCTTTTGGGTTTGGCAGGATTTAGTCCTTTGATGTTATAGGATTAAGATCCCATGTCCCTTGCAGGTTTCCAGCAAATGACATTCCCAGCTTCTGGGGGCCAGCTCCATTCTTTGGCTCCTGGACTCCTTTCCTCTTTTTTCAGTCTTTCCTCTTTGAGGTTCTCATCTTTTAAAGACTCAAGTGATTAGATTGGGCCTACCCAGATAATCCGGGATAATTCCCCCATCTCAACATCCATATGTTTAATCACATCAGCAAAGTTCTTTTGCCAAGTAAGGTTACATATTCACAGGTTCTGAGAATTAGGTCACGAACACCTTCGGGAGACCATTATTCTGCCTACCACAACCCATATGATGGAATGAATGCTCTGCAGAATGAGTTTAATTTACATATACTTAAGGGGAAAGCTGGTTTAATGTGTATTAAGTTTTAAAAAGCAACTAGATATAGTATGTGTAGTATGACCTCATTTCTATAACAAAATTTGCTTATAAAAGTTTTTTTTAACATACACGGAGAAAAATTAGATGACTACATACCAAATTCCTCAATATTATTTCTGGGGATAAAAGTTCAGAGGATTTTAATTTTGTGGAATATTTGAATTTTTTACAATTAACACATATTACTTTTGCAGGGTGCTTATTGTGCTAGATAAGTTGCTCAGTGTTGAATGCTATATGGGATAAGAAGTCTAAGACAAGGCTCTCAAGGAGCTAGTAGTTTTATCTGGAAGAGGATATATATGCACGTGAAACACTGTTCAACATAAAGTAGTGAGCATTGTTTAAATTGCTGAGAACACAGTCAAGTGGTATAGGAATTTAGAGGAAAGAAGAAAATGAGCACTTTTTTCCCTAGCTGTGTAGAAATTCAAATAGAGAAAGAAAAACAGCTTCGTGTATTGTATTGTCATTTAGCTATTCTATAATTTATTAGTCTCTTTTTTTTTTTTGAAACAGAGTCTCACTCTTTTTGCCTGGGCTAGAG